GCAAGGAAATGTGATAAAGAAGAGATTGTAAGAAGGCAGAGTCAGTGACAACTTTGCCTATTGCCTAATCAAACTGGGAGAAAACAGGGCTGCAACAAGAAAAGCAAAAAGGAGAGACGCCTGGATCAAGGATCTATCGTGAACCAGAGGAAAATGGATCGCAAAAAAGAAGAGACTGAGGAGGTTCCGGAAATGAAGCAAAGATGGTTTCAGTGAGTACAGTCGGCTTAAATAAACAACTAGAACTTGGGGGCCCGACGTTTCACGTGACCAGGGCGAGGGATTGGGTCATAGAAATCGGGCATTGTGACCAAATGGGCTAATAATCCACTTGAGATGCAGCAGACGACAGTTTGCTCAGGGCACATGGGCTTAATCGAGGAGAGGGTGTGTGAAGGTAATGCCTAACATCCGCAGGCATGGGAATCAGGATTTTTGAGCTTAGCTCCATTTCGAGTGAAAGTGTTGGGTGAAGAGATTCGAAGGTCGGATTTCTCTTGACCAGCTTTACTGAAACATTCATATTGACGCTTTTTCCGGGGCAATTTTCTTCGATTCCATTGAAAAGATGCTAAGCATTCGTCGGTCAGAGCAATGTATCATCGTGAATGAGCGAACACAAACATGCACATACAAATACAAAGACAGACACACTCACATGCATCGAAGTTGACATATGACCGTAACTAACCAAATCACTTTATAGTCAATCCAAGAGGCCAGATGTGAAATATATATACCACTTCTTTGGATTTGTCGGTGAGTTTTCTTGACGATGATACCTTGCTCGTCATATGACGGACGAAAGCTTAGCACCCTTTCACCGGAATCGAAGGAGATTGCCTCGGAAGCAGCGTCAGCTTGAATGTTCCAGTAAAGCCAATCGACAGCTGGTCCAGAGGAATCGACCGTCGTCTTCTGGTAGAACCGACCTTCAAATCTCTTCACTTAACACTTTCACTCGAAATGAAAGTAAGCTCAACAATTATGAAACAAGAAATTCCTCGAAACCCATCTTTTCTTCGCATGGGAATCAGAGCCTAGGCGCTCTGAAGATAAGGCGACTTTGTAGGTGCTACTGAAGGCTTGAGAAATAGCTACTGAAACCGAGTAAAATCGGTCAACCGGAAGGATCAGGAACGGATCTACTGGACCATCAGGCAGATCCGAAGAGGAGACTAGAGAAAGGAGGCAAGGCAAGCAGCGGGTGTGATGACGTCGAGGTAAATTCGCCAAAAGGGCACCTCTCTTGTGGACTAGCAACATGTTAGACGTTGTGATAGGACGAGGGCGAGACTGGAAGGATAGAGCGACGAGGACAAACCGCTTCGACAGAAAGTTGGTCAAAGAATTGACTTTATTTGTCCTTTTGACGAGTTGTAGCTTAGTTGCTGAGACTGGCAAGACTCACTGACGATGCCTCCTACGATGTCGGCGAAACGTCTGGGAATATACCAAGTTCACGGTCCGAATCTGGAAATAATGATGCATAGAATGGATTCTGGACTAGGTGCGTTCCTCTAAGTCTTCCTACAAACATGACCGAGTTGCGAAAACAAGGTCAAACAACTTCTATACAACGAAAGGAGAGTGCGACCACACAAAAGGTCACACCATCTTGGTCTTCATACATTCGAAAAGCTAACATCTTTATTCATATGGGGTTTGCTATATCAAGGCGATTTCACAGTTTAATCAAGTACATCGTATGCAAGCGATTGCATTTATGTGGCTGCACCAAATGACACACAATTCCTGCATAAGATATAGGCCATACATCCATATTTGAGGCCGGAAAGTAGAACCCTGCAATTCAACCAGATGCACAAGATGTTAGCCCAAATGATGATAGAAATGGCTGGATAGAAATAGAATAGTGGATAAAATGCAGTATTTGAGTGGCTATAATTTCCTAATAACTGTTCTTAGGGGTTTATAGAGAAATTTCGCAAAAAAAGCAAAGGCTACACTGAATTCGGCAAGGCATTGCAAAACGAAATGTAGTAAAAACCAAGTGTGCGGCGTAAAATATAGTTTGATTTATACATACTACTTATAGTACAATATCTTAAATAAACTATATTTTAACATTTTAGTGGCCAGAGCCCTAGCAATTGTAAAGGTGAATCGAAGGTATAAAAATCCTGCTTTGGATTCTTAAAAAAACTTTTTAGACGTTATTTATTGATGGTATTATTTAAGTAATATAAAATGTATTCACCCTATTTCGTCTAAGGTGATGAAGGACTGGTAGTAGAATTTTCCCACAATGATATGAGTTGAGCTGACGTTCCCATTGAATTTCACATAGCCTTGCTTTCCCAAG